GTAAAATCTCTTCCTGTTTGTCACTAATTCAGCTGATGTAACGTTCTGATTGTGGAACGAAATAATCTCATATTCCTTCAAATATACCTGCACTTTGAGTAAATACATTTATCATATAAACATTGATCTAATAGAATAAGAGAAAAGAAAGAGCAGGATAGAAGCCATAAAAATAAAGAAGTGTTTTTGTGTTGCTGAGACTTTTTAACAGTTACACATTAATTCATAATAGCGAATCGATCATTATTCTTTGATCCAAACTGTTTATTGACTGTAAACCAGTTGTCTTGTGACTGATCGTCTGAAGTTGTTCTGTGATGGTGATCGACGTAACGAGGTCGGGGAGCTGTGATGTGTTTGAGCTCTTTTGGTCAGAAAAAGGAGTTGGATTCACTCTGAGGAGCCTCACACTCTCACATTCCTGATTAATGACGCAGGTTGGACCCAAACAATGAAAACACACATTTGTACATTGAACACATCCACACACACATGAAGTCATCACTCGTGTTGAGCTGGAACCGGTATCCAGATAATAAGGTACAGATAACGAGGAGAAACGAGCACTGAACGAGTAAAACCTGTCAATATCTGTACTTTTTAAATGCTGATATAGCAGCTTTTGTAACAACAGATACAGGTAACGGTGTCCTCGCTCACATCCGAACAACAGGCCACATTAAAGGGGGACAGCGGTGCGTTCAAGGACCTTCTCTTGTCTACAATCTAACTCAAAACAAATGTTACAACCATTTAAATGATGACAGCAAAATGTTCAGCACTGACTGGATGTTTCCAACAATGTTAAAACTGAAACCGCCTTTTATTCAGGTAACGCTGCGTTTCAGCAGTCGCCTGTCGATGGCGTCATATCCCCTTTGTGCCTGCGTCAGCGTTGTGGTTGTCTGCCAGAAGCTGTCATACATTGACTGTTTATCCAGTCTGAAGCCACATTGTTACCATCCACTGTTTAGATCTTGGTGCTTTTTAACTCTAGATTTGAACCAGATGAAGGATTCCCGCCAGACTCCATTCACAAAAACACAAATTTTACCTTCAGATCATCGTAACTTCATTCAGCCTGAACAGAAACAATCAGCAAGTCTGGTTTGGTGGAAATAAATCCTAAATAAACAGTTAAATGTGAAAATGGTAATTAAAAGAGCTGCAACGTAAGTGCCTATCAAAGTGCATTCACTAACAGTAGTTGTTGTTTGTTCCACTAACAGTAGTTGTTTCTGCCACTGACAGACTCAGATTGCATTATGGAAAGAATCCATACAGAGATAGACCTTTAGTTTAACCACAAACAGCCATAATATCACTATCACTCTCCACCAGGCCCGAAGACGAAGATGATGAAGAGTTTAAAGAGTTTGTTTTTCAGTCTGAACTCTGCGACCTCGACAGAAAACACAGTTTGTTTCCCTGCAGATGATTCTGGTTCAGCTCCAGATGACCTGCACTCCTCCACATTCCTGTGTGTGTGTAGGTGTGTGTGTGTGTGTGTGTGTGTGTAGGTGTGTGTGTGTTTGTGTGTGTGTGTGTGTGTGTGTGTGTGTGTGTGTGTGTGTGTGTGTGTGTGTGTGTGTGTGTGTGTGTGTGTGTGTGTGTGTGTGTGTGTGTGTGTGTGTGTGTGTGTGTAGGTGTGTGTGTTACCACATGTGTTTCTGATCACTGAGACGGTGCGAGAGGAGGACGAAACAGAAAACTGACGCTGACGGCTTTTTCAATTTCACTTACGAGCAGTGGATTGATTGATTGAGTGTTTGGTTAATTGATTGATTGTCAAATGTAATTTAGTGTCACATAGATTTCCGATACAGACATAAATTGTTGACCCACAGATCTTCGACCTCCTATCCCAAATACAGTCTCACTATGTGTCCATTGGTCTGAGTATTGTGCTTCTGTGTCAGCCAGTGTTCTCTTACAGCAGATATATTATCAATATATATGTCAGATAACAAGAAGTCACAGACTGTTTACCAGCAGGTGGAGGTGTAAAGAGTCGAATCTGAAGTCTTTAGATCATTTTCTGATTTTTAAAACATTTTTGTTATTTGTGCCGGAGTGAGTGATGATGCCACTTACATGAAGTTAGCTTCGTTTCACACCCAACCCTCTCTAGTGTCTCATGTTAAAGAGGTAGTGAGCTGTAAACTGAGTTATATGACTCCACTGTGATGAAACACATTAATGAACACAGCTGCTATCTTAGCTACAAACAGGTAGCACACAGAAACTTTTACAAACAGCATGAATGTGCTTCTAGTGACTGTAAACGCTGCAGTGGACACTGAGAGTCTGACAGCTGCTGCTCTGTAAGCTCTGTTAGCGCTGACTACCAGTTTGCTGTTTCTGCTACACTGCAGTGGTCAGTCTGTCAGTCGGTGTCGAGACCACGCCCCCTACAGTCACCGTCCTGATGTGTTTTTACTTTAGCTCAGAGGGAGCAGAGCTGAAGGGTGGAGTTACACAGTCCCTTTAAAAAAGAAAGAAACAGGTCAGATGTACATCAGGGATTATGTGTATCAGTGTTACAGCTGCTTCATCAATCACTGATAGGACACACACACACACACACACACACACACACTGTAAATCTGCCACTGGGACCGAACCAGTGCAGCTCTCTCTGTCTTTGTGAGGACCAGTTTGTTTGAGAGTCGTCCTTTGAGGTCTGGGAAGATCTCGTCCTTCTGGTCCTAGAATTCACCATGAAACTTCCTCAGTTTATTACTCACATTAAGACAATTCGTTCTTCTATGTCAAGTTTTCTGAAATTGTATGTTTAAATATGCAAATGAGGCATTATGTAATGCTAAGCTTCAGTGAAAACACAAACAGATAAAGTAAAATAAACACCTAAATGTGTATCGTGGGTGTTTTCTTTGCACTAGTCTGAAAGAATCATCTGAAAATTGAGCAGTGCAGGAAATAACAGTGTCTGAATGTGTGAATCAGGTTTAGTTTGAGTTAGGGGACATCAATAAGGGTCCTCACAAGTGTGGAAGTACCAGTGACAGAAAGACAGAGCTCTTTTATTCCTGTGACGTTGATCCAAATCTCAGAGGAAATGATTTGCAAGATTCAAATGTTCTCCGCAGCCGTCGGTGCTGATCTGGAAGCTGATTGGTTGAATGCATGTTACACTGTCTGACTCTGTGACAACAATCCTGTCCACATAGTGTCTGATTGTGTGTGTCTGCGGTCCCCCTGGGCTCCAGGTCTGGTTGTACAGACACAAATAGGCCTTTTCCACCAACAGGGAACCAGCTCCGTTCTGGTTCAAGCACCTGGTTTTGGCGTCATAAGAGAGAAAGTGTTTCACTGGACACAGCATTAGTATACGCCAGGAAACCATTAAGAATACCTAAAGATACTTTAAAAAATACCTCTTTGTCATTGCTGATACTGCAGTATAGGTGATGTATAACACGAGACAGATGTGATAAAAACAGTTAAACATCAATTTTGACTTCATAGCGACTTTAAGATCCAGACGTCTGATGACTAAAATCCTACATCCGGTTCAAATCTAGAGTTAAAAAGCACCAAGTGGGTGGTAAAAATGTGGCTTCAGACTGGATAAACAGTCAATGTATGGCAGCTTCTGGCAGACAACCACAACGCTGACGCAGGCACAAAGGGGATATGACGCCATCGACAGGCGACCGGTGAAACGCAGCGTTACCTGAATAAAATGACAGATTTCTCTGGGTTTGAACATTGTTGGAAACATTTGGGATAATGTAAAAAAATCAACTACATAGAGAACATAGAGCCAGAGTTTATACGCTGTTTAATGCAGTATTGTTATATATGATGACGTCGAGCTGCAGCCATCGGATACCTCAGCACTCTGTGTCAGACTCTTTAATACACTCAGCTGATTAGGAACACCTGTGTAAATTTCTGTAACAACTGTCCTGCAGTAAATCCTCCCTTCATCAGGGTTAGAGCCTCCATGTACTCAATAAATTGGTGAGTGTCAAACAGCAGCTCATAAATATTAAACAGCATCCGACCACATATCAGTCAAACTGCTGTCAGCTGTGAATCACATATACAGGACTGTATATCTGTGTGTCCAGTGGTCATCTCCCAGCAGAGCTCTCCTGCTCTCCATCAGTCTATTTCTGTCTCTGAGTGGGCAGGATGGATGAACTGCCCGGAGGGATGGAGAGGGGATGAAAAGAGAGAGGAGGAGGAAGAGGAGGAGGAGTGTACGTGATGTATTTTGGTCCTCTCTTGTTATGATCGACCTGTGTCGCTCGGTGAAGCTCTTTGTGTTGAGTCTGTTTTGTTTACAGCTCGTGATAAAATTAATTGGAGCTGACTTCACCGGCAGAGAGAGAGAGAGAGAGAGAGAGAGAGAGAGAGAGAGAGAGAGGTGATACTGTAATGGAAGAGGAGGCTGTGCATGGAGAGGAAGAGGAGAGATTAGACAAGAAGAGTAAAGATGTCCATCAGTAATACGATTTTAGTTTGTTCCAGACCAAAAGTTTGTCGTAAAAAGTCTGAAATTTACTATCAAACTCTAATAATATGACGACTACGATCCACAAACCAACCAGTCAAAATAATGCACTGTATATAGTAGTATATATACTATACTACTATGTACTATATAGTAGTATATATACTACTTTCAGCTGTTTATGGAAGCTATAGAGTCCTTAAACTCTGAACCCTGAGTTAGCATTTTAGCCCCTCCAGTGAAATAAAGTCTGTGGTTAACACAAGCTTAATGATGTATACTCACCAAACGCCCTTTAGTCTGGTTTACAATGGTGGTATGAGCCTAAAACCCTAAAAAACAATCAATAAAATGTCATTAACAGATCAAAATGATGCTGAAATAATGACATCATGATACCAGTTTGTAAAAAGGCTGAATTCAGACAACGGGCAAACAACTTTTAAAAAGCTTGTTTTCTGAATGGAGTTTGGTTGATCAGGGCTATGCTAACTTAGGGAAGTAAAACCGACAGCTA